TGTCACTGTAATTGATTGCCAGGGGCTTTTATAGGTGTTTAAACCAAGGTAGTTCAACTGGACTCCCCATGATGGTTTTGCCTGTGTTTTTGGTGACTTTTTCCAATTTTTGAGATGGTTGAGTGAGTTTAATGGTCATGTGTATCAAATCCATTAATATTCCATGATGAGAACATATTTTGGTTCAATCCATGAATATTAACATTGAAAAAACATGTTATGAATTGGAAATGTTCAATACAATCCATTACAATAATTTTTTAAAATATTAACGTCAGCATGATTGGAAAGTGGACATTCCATAATTTTATCAAGTAGACATTCCTCTCCTCATGAGTCAATCTTCCATTCAAAACATCAACAAACTTGGTTTTGAAAGAATGTTGCACACACAACTGCATAAAAAAAATTCATGTTAGAACAATCCAAAAAGTAATTAAGAAAACAAGAAACACAAATTGGAAAAGAGGAAAGGGGAAAGGCTAAATGGAAAATGGGAAAGAGGAAGTGGAAAAGGGGAAAGGGAAAATGCGAAAGGGGAAAAGGAATAGTGGAGATATCTTGCTCTCATCACCGAAGTCATCGGAGTTTTCCATTTCCCACAACAAAATCAATATAAAGGAGAACATGTTTCTCGCTGGGTTGCTTCGCCGAAGAAGATGAAGCTAAAATAAAGAGAAACGAAAGAGAAAAAAGAAAGCTTGAAGGGAGAAAGGAGAGAGCTTGAAGAGAGATAGGAGAAGGCTTCAAGAGAGAAAGGAGTGAGCTTTAAGAGAGAAAGGAGAAAGCTTGAAGAGAGAAATGAGAGAGCTTGGAGAGAGAAAGGAGAGGGAACGATGAAAGAGGTTAGAGAGAGGATGAAAATGGAGTAAGGGAAAAGGAAAAAAGGAGAAAGGGAAATGGGAAATGGAAAATGGGAAACGAAAAATGAAAAGGGAAAAGAAAATACCTTGTTACCGGAGCTTTCCATTGCTTCACCGGAGTCTCGCCGGAGAAGATGAAGCTTCCTTCGTGAGAGAGAAAGAGAGAAAGGAGAGAAAACGCACACAAAATGAAAACCAAAATGCAACATTGGAGGAGAATGAAAACAAAAATGAGAGGGACATTTTCGGAAGCCAAATTCATTGTCAACTTTAACGAAAAAAAAAATATTTTAAATAATCGAATAGCCTTTTGACACGTAACGTTGTCAAATTTTTGTCAAAATTGCGTTGTTAGAATATCGCGATGCATTGTTATAAGAGTATGCTTCTAAAGATAGATTTCAGATTGTGTTGTACAACACAAATTCATTAATTAATGGTTATAATTATTATTATCTTTTGTTATTATACTATTTATTTATTATTATCGTTGATTCCACCAAACCAAACGACTCATCAACAAATTCCAATAAAAACAATAATTAGTTAAAACATATATTAAATAGAAAAGTAATAAAATGGATGGCAGAATGAGTGAAATCCATAGGGTGTAAACAAATCAATAAGATCCGAAATTCGAAACAAAACATTCACAACTTTAAACATTGATCTCTTTGATTGATTGAAGAAGGGCTGTGAGATTATCGTAAGAGGATCCACCTTCTTGAACAGCTTTGTCTGCTTTTTCCTTCAACTCCTGCACTCGTTTTCTGAAGAAGCCTCCTTCATCCTTCATCACCTTTCTCACAGCACTCTGAATTCTTTCCCAGTCCACCAGCTCCCTCCTCAAATCATAGGGTGACATGCTCCATTCCCAAACCCCCACACTCTCCCCAATCCCAAGCACCTCAGTCACCAACTTCTCACACAAAAACTGGTCACCAAACCTAGGCATGGTGATCATAGGCACCCCGTCACAAATCCCCTCCATCACTGAACCAGCCCCACTATGTGTTAGGAACCCTCCAATGGCAACATGCTTCAATATCAAACGTTGTGGAACCCACCCTCTCACTACCATTCCTCTCTCATTTTCCCTCATCCTTTCTTCAATCCCTTGCACCAACCCTTCTTCTCTCATCTCATCATCATTCACATTCTTTGGAAGCACCAAGAGGTAATTGTACCCAGAGGCCTCCAACCCACGTGCAATTTCCATATGTTGCTCTTTGCTCAGACGAGCCAAGCTTCCAAAACATACGTACACCACTGACCTGGCTTCCTTGGAGCTCAGCCACTTGAGGCACTCATGCTCATCAACCTAAAATTATTAGAGAAGCAAAATCATAATCTTGCAAAAGATAGATATTCATAATAAAATGGGAAATCTCTGTCGTAGTGAAAGTCTATCGATCTTATGCTTTTGTGGCTTACATGATTCTCTTGTGATGTGCGTCTTCTTTGGTAATAATCCACCATCAGAAAGAGGTTGCCAACGTGCCACACCTTAACGCCGGTGAGTTTCTCGTAGTACTCAGTGTACACACCTTCGAGCTCTGCAAAGGTATCCACAATAACCCCAATAGTGTTGTTTTCCTTGGATTGCACTAAAATACGAGCCATGGCGTGGAAGCTGGTATTCCACGGGTTGAAGTTAAGCGTGATATTGTGGGGAAGAGCACCAGGGACGACAAAAGAAAGCGAAGAGTCCGAAGGCAACACTTGGGGCTGGAAGTTGTTGATGGCCTCGGCAACGCAAAGAGCGAAGATGGGCATGGGGCAGTAAACGAGCGTGGGGATGTTGAGTGTGGAAGTGAAATTCCATGGAAAAATTATGTCTAAAATCAAAGCATGAGGAGGGTTTTGCTGCAGAAAGGTTTCTATCTGGGGTTTCATATCTTGTGTGGCTTTCCATATCTCGTGCGCGGTTCGGTTGTCTTCTACATAGGATAGATTCTCAGAAGAAAGACCAACTTCGTTAGAGGGGAGGTTGAAGGTATGAACTTTGAGGTTTTTGGGGATGAAATGAGCGTTTGAAGGAGTTGTGAGAATGGTAACATGGTGGCCACGAAAGGCTAAAACTTGACCCATATTGATCTGTGGGATCATGTGCCCTGGTCCTGGAGCCGGAAGGAGGTAGAGTTTCAGAGAACTTGAATCTGCCTCTGAAAATAAGCCTTCCATCTCTTAGATTTCTCCTTCTCAATTGTTTTGCAGACCTACTAATGCAGCATAGAAAACAGAGCATACCTTCGTTATATAAGGGACCCCTGTATTGACCACGTGTTTTGAAAATATTTTTATAATGAACATGTGTCAAAACATTTCAAATAATATTTTATTCGAAAAAGTTAGCGTGAAAGAGCCAATGAATTTACTATTTGAAAATATTTCTCTTTTCGTTTTTATTCTTCCTCCAATGTGCATTTTTGTTTTCAAGTGTTTTTTCTCCTTTCTCTCTCACAAGCATAAAGGTTTATTTACCCTTTGGTAACTTGGATGTACCATTTCCATTTTAACTTCACTAGTTGGATATTATTTCATTTTTCATGGAGTTAATTTGTTGGTGGGTTGAATGGAAAATTGATCTCGAAACTCACGACCATTATTAGAAATACACCATTCATATTGGTGGATCGTGGAGAAAAGTGATGATAAATTTATGAACACCGAAAAACAGCGTCACAAACTTGTTTAACTATCGGCAAGTGTGACCGAATCGTATCAAGTAATAAAACTTGGTAAGACCAAATATCGTTCTCCCAAAGGACTCACGGCCTAGTTAGCTATATGATTTGTTGATTATTTAAGACTTGTTAACAATTGATTGTAGGTTTAAATGCAAAAGACAGTAATTAAACATGTATGCATGAATTTGATCAATGGAAAAGAGGAATACAAACACTTTAATGAATTAGATGGATGAGTATGTTGTTGGGGTTATCAATTTCATCTTATCCACTCTCATATACTTTTAGGAATTCATCATTCTTTTCATCAATTGCTAATGCCACTCTCTAAAACACCTTGCAAGAAGGCGTATCCTTAATTACGAGTTCATACAATTCCTAGCATTCCTAGTAATTAGTTCTGAAGTGCAAGAGCTTAAAGGCAACCAATATGCTATTGGGAGAAATTCCCCGGATCTAGATTTCCCCGTATATTCCCATATCGACAAAATCAATAATCATGGCAATGAATGAGTTAAACAAAGCAAGCATTAAGCAAAGAGGAAAAACCCTAACTAAAGATGAAAGAAAGCATGTATCTTAATATAAGATGTTAAAACAAATTCCATATATGAGAGTTTCACAAGACTACATTGATTCCCCAACAACAATAGAAGGTTTAGTTCACCATATTCATGGTGAAACTAGATGAACAATAATGAAAGAATGAAAGAGATAGAAAAACCCTAGAAAGAGAAGAGGAGAGTTGTCACCATCTCCCAATCTACCCCCAAGGGGTGAATAATGTGTTTCTACTTCCTCCCAGCCAAAGATACAAACCCTAGGACGTGCAAGTCCTTAAATAGGGCATAAAAATAACATAAAACAAGTCCAAGCCCATAAAAACAAGAGAAAACCGGTCCAAGCCCACTTAGAATGGCGCTCAGCGGTAATAGCGCATGATCCATTTTGCCCCCAATTGCTGTTTTTGCCCCTCAACGGTGATTTTGGCACCCGAAAAGTGCCGCTCAGCGGTATTTTACCGCTCAGCGCCACTCGGTCACACTTTTTCTGCGTTCTGGTTGGTTTTTCAGCATTCTGGTTGACTGGTTGACTTTTTTGGTTTCTGGTTGACTTTTCAGCACTCCAATCATTCGGTATTTCAATTCTTCTTTCAAATCATTCAATTAGCCTACAAAATCAAGGGAATCTTGCACAAAATCATTAAATTCACCTTTAACTCTCTTATTCACAAAACTAAAGAAAAATATGAGTTCAAGCTAGTTTCTAAGTCTTAAAGGTTGCTTTTGGTATCAATTTTAAGCATAAAAATAACGGTTTTTCAACCATTATCATAACCCCAAACTTAAAACTTTGCTTGTCTTCAAGCAAACAAGATGTAACTCAATCTTCCATCAATCCATATAATGGTATTCCAACTCACCTGACATGTTCATTGGTGCACTAAACACCAACCATGACTAATAAACTCACTCAGCCATCTAAAATAAGAAACATGAAACAATAACTTGAAAGTAAACTCATTTAAGAAGCTTAGAAAAACATTGTTTTTGCACCCATGACCATTAAACTCACTCACACATCTAAAATAAGAAACATGAAACAATAACTTGAAAGTAAACTCATTTAGGAAGCTTAGAAAAACATTTTTTTTGGGAAATTAACTGCATCTAGTACAATGGTCTAAAAATTATGAGTGTGTAGTAATTTGAAGGCTCTTTGAGTCTAGATTCCAACAAAACAAGAATCAACTCATTTGGAGTAGGGTAGAGAAAGTTAAAAGCAAAACAACCATCAAAGCTCAGAAAAACAGAGTTAAGGAGTGTTTGTTGTTCATCCACCTGGAGAATATAGTTGAAGTTTCTTTTTAGATGGCCCCCAGGCCTCTGCTAATCTATTACAAGACCCATGTAATCGATTTCTAAGGCAAAAAATATTCAGAAATGCTTATAGAGCTCATCGAACTTACATGAAAGCACCTAAATGACTAATGTGTTGATTGATGCACTAAACACCAACCATGACCATTAAACTTACTCACTCATCTAAAATAAGAAACATAAAACAATAAATTGAAAATAAAATCATTTAGGGAACTTAGAAAAACAATGTTTTTGAACCAATGACCGTTAAACTCACTCACTCATCTAAAATAAGAAACATGAAACAATAACTTCAAAGTAAACTCATTTAGGAAGCTTTGAAAAACCTTGTTGTTAGAAATGAAGAGCCTTGTTTCTCAACACCAAGAAGGGGAGGAATTGGTGATCAATAAAAACAAATGCATTTTAAATCTTTTTGCAAACTTAGAATGATCTTTAACCTTTCTTGTAATCTAAGTAATATGTGTATGCAATGAAAGTAAAAGAGATAAGAAAAGAAGAACAAACACAAGGTTTTTATCCTTGTTCAGCCTCAATGCCTACATCTAGTTTCCTTCCAATCAACCTGAGATTGAAGGATCTTTCACTATAATGATTTGAGTTTTACACCAAAGGCTTTACAGAGATTCTCTCAAATGTAAACATCTCTCTCACTCAACAATCAACTATAGAAAGAAAACACCTGAGCAAAGAACCACACGTCCTTGCTGTAGAAGCCTTTGAGACAACCTCTCAAAGTCCAAGAACTCCTCGTTCTTCTTCCTATCATGCACGAACAGAGAAGCATAATCCAAGATTGCAAAAAACAAGTTTTTGATCAACGTAGAAACACCTCAGTAGGGCAGATAAAGATCAGTCTATTCGTCCACAATGTTTCTCTCAAAAGTCCTTCAAGTTTCTTCCAATTCTTCAAATCTTGATTCTTGAAGCGTCTCAAAAACCTATAATACTTTTCTCAAATCAAAGATATCAGATATGACAGTTTACAAATGATCAAAAGTTCTTACAGAGTTGCATGTAATGCGTCAATTTATAGTTTCATCATGACAGACGCAAAACAATCGATTACGTTAGTAATGTAATCGGTTACTTTAAAATCATAGGTAACAAAATTTCAACTAACACGATTCTATTTGAATGAACAATTAATATAATCGATTTTGAATAAATGCTAGTCAAACATATTTAAAAATATGACCGTTGTCGCAACCGGGATCGCGACGGGACGGCGAGCCGAAAAACAAACGGGTTTGAGAAAAAGGTTTTGGGAGTCGCCACCATAATTTATATGGAAAAACTATGGAAAACCAAACAATAAGACATGGTCTGCGAAAAGTAGATTTTTAGGTTCGGGAATCGGTTACGCGTAAGGAAGGTGTTAGCACCCTATCGCGCCTGCCCAAAGGTAGTACCTTTAATTAAATGTAAAAAGGTTGACGTGGTTTTTTTTTAATTAAATGTAAAAAGGTTGACGTGGTTTTTTTTTTGAATGTTTAATTTTCCCTAAAAAAATAATATAAAGAAACTATTAAGAGACAAAAAATATTTTTTGTTTTATGAACCCGACAAGAATTGACCTTGGTCCTACGTACATCCATTTATAATGGACAATCAGGGATAACGTAGTTCTTTATCTAGAAAAAGGTTTGTGAGTTTGTTTGAAAATTATTATTGATTGATTTGGATTTTTGAAGAGTGAACCCGAAAAAAGATTTGGTTTAACAAGATTGATATTTTTTTATTTTAAAGATTTTGTATTTTTTATTTTTAAGAACGGTGGGAAAGAGGAAAGAAACCGACCATAGGTCGACGCGTACTTATACTTCAAAAATAATGATTTTTAAAAGAACGTCATTTGTGTAATAAAAAATAAAACCTTTAGAAAAAAACCTTCAAATTGCAACAAAAAGAAAAAAAAGAAAAAAAAAAGGGTATGTAGATGACGTACCTTTTCAGCTTTCAATACTCTCTAATTCTTCTTTGGTAATTTCTATTGGCAGAGTTCCTCTAGCGTGATAATTTACTTTTCTCTATACTCTCTCATACCTTTTCTATCTCCATTATTTCATAGTGTCTCTCTCTATTTTTTTCTTCTCCTTTTTTCCGTCCCCCCCTTCTGCTTCTATGGCAGAGTGTGTATTTATATACACACATCGTAATATTATGGAAATTTTGCCTTAATTGTGAATTAATTGACAATAAAACAAAATAGGGAAAAAAATTGCTTTAATTGTGAATTAAATGCACAATAAAACAAATTAAATAATATTCAAAACATTGACTATCATTATGGTCAGAAAATCATATTTTCCTCTTTAAAAGCAACTGATGCAACAAATTATATTAATATACTATTTTAATTATTGTTCATAATTATTAGCATAATATTAATTCAAATTATTACCATATTAAACTAACATTTCAAAAATATTGTATTAAAGTCAATATTTTATCCCTTTTTACCCACCATTAATTATTATTCTCTTATTTTTTATTATTTTTTAAATATTTACTTACCCGGACGAAATTGGGTGTTGACAACCGTTATAAACTACAAAAAAGAAGGGCATTACCAAAGGCTATAATCCTTCGGTAACAGCCAGAAGCCGTCGGTTATTACTATTTACCGACGGCTTAGCGACGGCCATGAGAGCGTCAGTCA